TGCAATAACTTAAAACCTATTTTTTTTTTCACTATATTAGCCTGATGACTAATGTGTATGAGTAGAACCACGTGTTTAGAGTGGATTAGTGGAACCCTGACGGGTTCCACTCGTCTCACGCCAAATTATTTATTTTAGTAACTCATTATGGAATTATTGATAAAACTACGATACCATTTCATTCTTCACATTTTCAGTTAAAAATAATAGTTTCAATTTTATTATATTCCTTACTAATAAATATTTTTGTTGTAATATAAATTAGAGTTATTGATTTTAATAATTTGATATGGGCTTCCATAGAAGAAAATATTATATGGTGGATGTTCTGTAACTTATAAGTTTGGGAAACTCTGAAGTATAGAAACAAATAATACAAGTGTTTAAAACAAAATTGATTAAAATTTAATTACTACACATTAGTTAGAACTTTATTTAAATATCTACAAATAAATTATAGTAATGACAAGCATTTTTATCTGGTATTAAAATTGTAGATAATTATTCTTGTCATATTCACAACTAGTATTTTATTATTCCATAGAATACTATTAGTTCACAAGGAAGTAATTTATTATCTCGAGCTCCTGAATACTTTAGAAAGCATACTGAGTAGTTGGACCCAGCTGCATCTGCAGTCATTAACTTTTACCGAATCTGCACTGGGTTGGCCAGAATGGTGGGTTGGCCCAATCCCCCTATTTAATTATTATTATTTTACTAAGGCCTGAGATCCAGATGTGAGAACAGCAACAGTCTAGTGATGACAAGAAAGTCACTGCTAGCAGGCAAAATGCTCAATCATCAATTTTAATATTTACTCAAAGCCCATGGCTTATTTCGATCAATCATTACAAATTTTGTGACCCTCAATACCACCCTAGACCAACTTAAGGTTGCGAGAAGATGCACTTTTTCCATATTAAGCAAAAGATCATAATTCACAATTCTAGCAACAAATTATTTTATTTAAATAGGTTTGTTTCAAATACCAAAGTGTTTTAACTAGTTACAGAAGTCAGTTACTTTATATTTTTAAACAGGAAAAAGCAAAGTAAAAAAAAAATGTAGTCAGTAAAATTATTTCTGAAAGTGTTTGTTTAAATACATATTGAATGGTCATAGAAAAATATTGAATGGTCCTTCTTTTACTTATTGTTAAACTGAGATTACTGGAAAAGGGTGGCAACTCTATGTGCAGGCCTTGAATAGTTTGGAATGAGATCGGGAAACTATTGGTACTTAATGTAATTTAACCAACTTATTACTGTCTTGAGATATTTTTGAGAGTCAGATGACAATAAAAAGTAATAATAAACCCTTAAAAATATTTTAATAATTCTATTTAAAAGGTAGCTTGCGACATCGTGTATACATTGTGACATAAACACAGCCAAGACAATACGACATTCACCAAAACTATGCAGTTTTTCGCAGTATCATTCTCAGCATATAAAATACACATTTCAAGTAGTTTTTCGTGTACCTGGTGCAGTAGACGACCTTGGAAGTTGTCCTCGTCCGGAGAAAGGTCCATTTTTAGAAGATACTACCACAATACACAGGAAAATAAAACATTTCCGGACAGAATAATCGCTGAAGCGTTGCAATAAATTCAACAAAAGAAAACTCTGTTTAACTTTATTTCACCATTATCGTTGCTGAGGTAATATTGTTTGGTACTGATAAAATACATATGGCCTCATTTACAAGTAACAGAAAACTGCGTTTTCAATTATAATTTGATATAATAAAATAGAATATTATTGATTGATTCGAAATACCTATTTGGAAAATGACATTGTGACATTAGGATATCACCACTGATGTAAAATAACAGCTGTTTAATGACAGATCCTGTTTACGTGAAACGAAACGTTTAATTAATACAAAAATTATGCAAACATTTTGTTTGTACCCAATCATATTTTCAGCAATTATAGTATAATAAATTAATTATGTTTAGTTACTAATTAAAATATTTTTTTAATGGGTAGACCATTCTGTGCCAAAAGTGTATACCATCTATGGGTAAAAATAAGGGTCATAGAAGTTTGAGGGTATTTACAACTTTTCGTTTGAGTTCTCGGGCGAACGTCATCGCGTGTAATAAAAATGTGGCGTCAATATCGCAATGAAGATTGGGACCGAAGAAAAGAATATTTAATTCGCAGTTTATTTCAGGACATCCCACTCTCACGTATGTATTCATCTCTTTTACATTTTTTGCGCTCTTGCCCTCGTAAATTACAACCTATGTCAGCCAGCCACGTCTGATGTACCTTCTTATAGATGACAGAAATACATAAAAAAAACACATCGTCGTCGAACATATAAACCCCTCTTTTTCGATTTTGAAGTCGGTTAAAAAAGAGTTTCATAATATCTTCGATCAACAATATTGTATGGTCTGCGAAAAACAACTTTAAAAAGTACAGGTTGCATCTGCAGTCGCCCGCCAATCCACACTGGGTTCGCGTGTTCATGGCTCATTCTCCCTATTCGATTCCATTCATAGGGAAAGCTTGAGCCCCAGCGGCGGGGACATTAATATGTTGGGTGATCAATAAGTTAGACGGAAAGCTAACGCAGTAGATCAATGAATAGGGGATGATATCATGACGATAAAGTTAGACCACAACATTCAGATTTGTCAAAAATTAGAGAATTGGTAAGGCATTGTATTAATATCAGGAAACGACTGCTAAAATTATTTGTCACCTTTTTTATGGTCAACGACAAATTGTGATCGAATTTATTGGTACATTACATTTGCTTGTACCATAGCAATATATTCGATGGTAATCCGAAATATTAAATACGTCTTGAGCTTTTTTATATATATTAAGCGAAATATATTTCCCAAATCTTTAGGAATAATATGTGGATTACCTGTCTATAGGGCTGTCACCCGTACCAGAAGAACAAGAATCCCGAGGAGATTCTTGGTCATCTAGAAATATTTTACTATCGAGACCATGCAGTCCATTGCCACCGCTTATTATAGAAAAGTATCCAAACCGCCATGACGATCCTCCTGAATTTTATATCGAACTAGAAAGGAAGATTAGGCAAGTTTACAGAAAAATGTTTTGTAACGAAGGAAGCAGTTCTATTGAAGATCTCCTGGAATTATATACAAATCATGATGATGACAATAGCATTTTTACAGATAGACATGAATTGGTGACTTCAAGCCCCTCCTCAGAACTTAATAGCAGAACAAAAAGTATAAGTAAAAACACTTTTGAAACTACCCAGTCACCTCTACACAATATCACTAGTAGTGAATCTGTAACGACACTTTTGGAGAGTAGTTTACAGATGGATAAAGAACATAGATTTAGTCCTAACAAAACATCTGAAGGAAGTACATCTAGTATGCCAGGTTTCTGCGGTGAGACCCAAGACACTACACAAGTGGTAATTCATAAAACTCCTATCGATGTAGAAGATACGGAAATAACAAATCTCGTTAAGGAAGATGCTGTTACATGCAACAGTCCAATATTAGAGTTAAAATTTCAAACCCGTTACACTCTAAAAGAAAAACAAGAGTCTAATGACTGCAGCGGAGAAAAGTTTAGAAATCATAAAGATTCGGGTTAGTTATTAGGCAATCTTTACACATACCTATATAATTATATTACATTTGTGCTAAACTGTCATACATTAAAACAGAAGTGGTAGTCACATGTTGGTATTTTTTGTTTACTCATCTATACTATAACTCTTAACAATATAGTCCGATTCTGACAATTGTTTTTTTATTGGATAGGATACACAAAATTAAACCACCGTCGGCAACCTTCGGATTTAATTTTGTTTTTTTTTATAATCCACTGAGTATTATTTGCAGAATCGTCAAAGAAAACGACTGAATCTCAAGATGGAAGCATCGAATCTAGTTTTGAAAGAGAAGATATTGAAATAATGAGAAGACAAGAGCGTATTTCATTATCTTTAGGATCTATACAAAATAATGCCAATGATACGGAGACTTCAAGCATCGCTACTAACGTTGAATTCAAAAGAAAAGCTTCTTTAGAAATGTATGAAGACGAAGACGCTTTATATAAAGAAGCTGGTGATGTTCATAATTTAACATTTTTAAAAGATATCCATAATGAATTGCAGGATACGTTAAGTAATGGGTTATCCACAAAACACTTTAAAAGTCGATCATCAATATACAATCCAGTTGTTAATGATACTTTAAATCAACATAGTCCTAATATGCTGATAAAAAAACGAAGAGGTGAAAATAAGAGTGTACAGACATCAGAAGAAAATAAACGTATCTGTTGGAATGATATGAAAAAAAACTTTTTTGTTGGTGTGCCTACAATTTATAAACTTTGTTCGTGTGACGATCATGTTTGTAAAAATCAATCATTGCAATAATGTTCATTCTAAAGTCAAAATATTCAGTCTTTTCCGATAACGTTTCTTTACACGATTCAATGTTACAATAATGATTGTTTTATTGTTAATCATGTAAACATGGATTTATGATACTTGTTCCTAGTTTACTTCTTCTTTTATTAATGGCTTATCTGCGTATTTCGCACAATTCTGCCAATGTCAAGTAAATAAATTAATTTCTATCTTATTTCTACATATTAAATGAAATGAATGAAAGTTCCATACAATGTTTAATGACACTTCCTAGGAACAAGTATTTAAGATTACTCTATTCGTCTATGAATATATATAGTGTGACCACACTATCGATATTTTTGATATCGATAGTTAAGTAATTGAAAATCTATCAATAAATTGCAATACTATTGATAGTATCAATAATTTATTTAAATTGTTGTGGCAATAATCAGCACTATAGTAACACTATAATCAGCAATATAGTAATTAAATATTTAAACTTTGTGCCACTAAAAATATCAGTAGAATAGATACTATAATAATGACTATGACGGAATCTCAAAAAAAAGTCAGTGTATGTAAAGGATAGGCATCACTACATTCTCATATTTTGTCATGTCACATTCTTGTCGAATTATTTCCCTTACTAGATTATAGTGATTTGTTAATTATTTCGAGGTTGTATTTTTGTTGTACGTTTTTGTTTAATTTAATTATAAAAAAAGAAATAACTACTGAATATATTGAATAATGCCACCATTAGGTAGTCCCTCTAAAGAGTTGGACTTAAAACATGAAGAAAAAATTGTGCAATTCGTTTCAAATGTTAGGAATGGGTAAGTTTATTCTGTTTTCTACATATTTAAGCTTACCTTATATTCCGGAAATAAAACCAACATGTGTCATTTAGTTTTATCGACTAACGCCCAAAAGGTCTTTGGGTTAAGATAAATAATTGATATATCTAGATATCCAACACAAGCCTGCAAAAAAAATCAAATAAGTTGCACAATTTTTTATGTTGGTGTCTGTGTTTTGCTTTAAATAAAAGTACCTATTTTGGGTTAAAGTATGTGTGATCAATTAGTCCATATTTCTTCTTATAATTTATATTCAGTTAGATAAATAATTATGTAGTAAATATTTGAAGAATGTAAATCTAAATTAATATTATGCATATAGTATTATGGGGAATTTATTCAAATAGTACTTTATGTACAAATATAATAACATACAATGAAAGTTTAAGTAAAAAAGTAAAAGTACTTGTCTTTTTTTTTCATATCTTGTCTTAGGTTTTGCATGTAAACTTTCCATTAAACATCTTCATCAATATGTATTTCCTACTATATAATAAGTATATCTTTACAAGGAGCTTGAGGAGTAATCATTTGTGCATTTTGTGTGACCAAACATTTATTATCTTTATTCTGGCTTAAGCTATAAGTCTTCCAATAACCATATCAAACGAAAATAAAAAATTAATATAAGCCTTTTCTGTGAATTTTACATTCTCCCTGTATAATCTATTTATTTCAAGAATTTGTTGGTTAATTTATTTATTTATTTGGTTGTGTTTATTTATAGAAAAGGCCTGTGCTTAAGCAATTGAAAAAGCAATTAACGTCTTATTACATTTAAGTTATTTGCTATATTTTATTGGTTTCCAGGAAGATTGATGGTTCAAATAATATTGCATTAAAGATGCTGTTGCTGTTGGAGCAGATTATAAGTGAATGTGAAAATGCAACAGCACTGTAAGTTATAATTAATGTGATAAAAATTTACCACTGAATAAATTTTGTTCAAAAGATTACAATATAAGGAATATTAAAGTTAAAAAAGTTAACCATCCATAATAATTAAGATCAGTAAATTCATTACATGATTCATGTTTTAATATTAACTTTTTTTAAGCATACATAGATGCTCTTGGATATACAATGCACTGAAAAAGTATAATTTATTTATTTTAGGTTGGGAAAAATGTCTTTTCGCATATAGTATGCGTAAACTTGTAATAAAATCTTGGCCAGAGAGATTTTGTATCTGTCTGGTTTCATTATCATTAAAAAGTTTAAATTTTAAAAAAGATAAATTCAAATTAGGCAAAAAAAACATGTGATTTTCATTTGTTTTTCTTACTGTCAAAATGAGTGAGTGTAATGAAGATATTCTATACCAATTTTGCGTTCATACTGAAAAATATTCTTAATGAAAAATGCTTAAAAATCCTCTTTGTCCCTGTCACTGAGATAGGACTCGAACCCATGACTTTGCAATCTGCGCAACTGCTCTAACCACTGAGTTACCCAGGACTACTATTTATTTATTTAAATTAGGTACACTTACAGATTACAGTCAACACATAACTTCGACAAATATATTAGATTACTTAGTCTAGATAATAATCCAAAATTAGTGTACACAGCATGATCCATAATAGAGGACGGTCTATACAATCCCAGCAAAAAAAAAAAAAAACTAACTTATTCTATCCAATGACTTCTATCCAAAAAAAAGGGATCATTTCGTAAGTGAAGATACCGGGTCTTTAAGGAAATCAGTTATAATCTTTTTATATCTGGAGAATTTATGATCAAAGATGTCGATTTCATCGTCTTTGCTACTACGGGAAATCTCATTAAATGTGCGACACATTCTAACTAGAGGGTTGTAAAAGGATGTATTATTTTTGTATACCTGCATTGCAAATATATTAGGATGGCGTGATTTGTGTCTCGTATTAATACTTATTGATGCGAGGAGATCCGGTGCATCAACGGAAGCATGCAGTAACTTATGAAGGTAAAGTAAGTCGTATCTTCTACGCCGGGTCTCCAAGGACATTACATCGAACTTGGACAACCTTTGAGAGTAACTAACCAGGGTTCGACCCAGGTTATGCTTCCATGAAATATATTTCAGGCATCTCCTCTGAACTCTCTCCAGACTATCCATGTGAACCTTGTAATAAGGAGACCACACAGGAGAACAATACTCTAAGATACTTCTCACTAAATCGAAAAACAGACTCAGAATACTATAAGGACTCTTAAAAGATTTTGTAGACCTCATTATAAAGCCTGTCAGTCTATGGCTCCTCCCTATGATATCCTCATAATGTGGACGGAAAGACAACTGCTCGTCAAAAACAACACCCAGATCCCTAACACTTGTTTTTCTTGATAAGATGATGTTATTTAGGTGATACGACTGGTCTAATCTATTCCTCCTCCGAGTAAATGACACAACACTTATCTACGTTAAAATACATATTATTGGCTTCACACCACTGCGTAACAATTTCAAGATCCTTTTGAAGTGTCATACACTGAGTCCGGTCGGTAACATTAGTAAATATCTTAAGATCATCAGCATATAGAAGTGCCGGACAAGTTAAACGACCGATCAAGTCATCTATAAAAACTACAAACATCAGAGGTCCCAGGTGCGATCCCTGGGGAACACCTGAAAATACCGAGGTGGGGGATGAGGAGTAACCCTTGAGAGTAACAAGCTGCGAACGGTTGCTTAGATATGATTCTAACCACCTTAACAGACTCCCATGTATACCGTAATGGGCAAGTTTGAGACATAATAGGGAGTGATCAACCTTGTCAAAGGCTTTGCTGAAATTTAAATATACAGCATCGACTTGGCCCCCAGACGCGAAAACACTACATAGGTAATTTTTATATACTAGTAAGTTACTGAGCGTGGACCTTTTTTTAATAAATCCATGTTGGTTACTCGATATAAATTTAATGACATGGTTGTAGAGATGAGTGTATACAAGAGCTTCAAAAACTTTTGCTAAGCATGAAAGAATGCTAATTGGCCTATAGTTAGCACATGAATTTCTATCACCAGCTTTAAAAATTGGTATAATATAAGCTTTTTTCCAGCGAGTGGGGAAGACACCAGTTGTTAAGGATTTATTGTATATTATCTCAAGGGGAGAAGTAAGTTCCTTAGAGCAAAGTTTTATAAATTTAGGGGGGATATCATCTGGCCCTGATCCTTTACCCACATTGAGTTGTTTAAGCCTTATATAAATGTCTTGCTCACTAATTTGAACATCATGCAAGGAGAAAAGAAGCGGTTCCGGTAAACTTATAAGTTTATTGGTATTATCAGGTATATTGTACACCGAACCAAAGTACTCAGAAAACAGCTCACAAATTCCCTGACCATCACTACCTGTTTTATTGTTATATGTCATAGTATCAGGTATGGAGACTCTGCCCTTCTTGTTGTTTATGTAGCGCCAAAATGCTTTAGGATCTTCAGTTAAAGAGTCCTCAACCGATATTAAGTATGCTTTGTAACATTCTTTAATTAAGAATTTGCATCTATTCCGCAGCAATGGAAAAGTGTCGTAATCTAGGGGGTTAGAATATTTTTTGTAACGCTTATGCGACTTATATTTCTCATTAAGGCAGCGAATCAATGCTGGGCTATACCACGAAGGGTACCCACTCGGAGTTTTTCTACAATATGGTGTATACTTAGAAATAATACCGTCGAGAGTACCGTAAAAATCGTCTACACATGTATTCACATTTGTTGATGACAGTAACATCCTCCAGTCGACACTCCCTAATTCTAAACGTACTTTGGTGTAATCACATCTGTTAAAATTATATCTATTCTTGTGGTTGGGTTTCAGTGGCTTGTCTGTAGTGATCTTTTTAACATGAATTTGATAAGCCAAATGATGACGATCTAAGCGACAAAGAGGTTCAGCTTCCTCAACTATTATGGAGGAAGATGGTAAAGTGGACAATACCAGGTCAAGAAATCTATTATTATTATTTGGAATTGAGTTAACTTGGACGAGATTACAAATATTCATTGTATCAACGAGCAGATTTGCTTTACTGTCCTTCGGATCTGAAGGTGTAAGGTGATTTGAAGAGCTACATTTATCCCAATTCATATTAGCGCTGTTAAAATCACCTAAAATAATAACATTGTCCCCAGGGGCCAAATTGAGAATTACATTCTGGTTATTATCGTGAAACGCTGTAATATCCTCAATTGATAAGTCAGGTGGTAAGTAGCAAAGACAAATATTTAGAGAGGGTTCTCCACGATTGCATGCAGAAATTGAAAGCCAGATATCCTCAACCCTACTCTCCCAAGACATGCGACGGGTGACATTAATACAATTTCTAACAGCTACAAGAACACCGCCGCCACTTTTTTTTGTGGAACATGTATTCTCACGGTCTCGTCTAAAAACACTATATCTATTATCTATCGATTCGTTGTCATACACACCACTATCAAAATTAGTCTCGGTTAGACAGATAATGTCGTAACTGTTATTCAATATGTTTAAAAATACATCGTTAATTTTGCTCTACCTAAATTTTGATAAAAGACTTTATACATTTAATTGTAAAATGATACCCAGACAGAAAGATATAATTAATCTAACATTAATTGAGTTTATCTAGGCTTCCCAAATTGTGTATGAGAATAGCACCAGCAGAGTCATTCTTGCGCACATAGATTTGTCCATATTTTATCCACACGTACTTGTAGCCGTGCTCCTTGGCTACTTTTCTAGTCGCTGCGTGCAATGCTTTTTGCTCCGGGGACAGATGTTCGGTAACAAAAATTCGGCATGGTTCACCGGGGACATCTACATCACTGGACATCAGACCAGTACTTGAATTTGCTTTTATATACCTATGTGTTGCTGATAGTATAAGGTCCCTGATGCGAGGTGTAGAGAAAGTCACCACGATATTTCTTGGTCTGTTCGATGTGGTATTAAGTTTGGCAACTCTGCGACATGCGCTGATGTGAATGTCCTCTAAAGAAACTTTTACGACATCACAAAGTCTCTTAAATATGGCTATTACATTCTCATTGTTTCGCTCCGGAACAGCCTGTAGTTCTATGTTGCAGCTACGCGAGATCTTCTCAATTCCTGCTAAGCGAGCATTAAGTCTGGTCAGTTCCGCCTGAAGCTCCGATTTCTGCGTCTCGAGTTGTTTTATGATCTGGGAATTATTCTCAATTTTAAAGCGCATTTCTTTTTGTTCCTCACAAACGAAATCCGTTGTGGCACTGAACTCATCCTTGATGATTTTCAGCGCAGAACTAATTTCACTCTGAACCATTTCTCGAACATCCTCTCTCAACACCTTACGAAAACCCTCCATAAAAACTGATAAAGAAGTACTGAGTTTTTCTTCCAAAAGTTCGCTAATTTTATTCATTGTAACTTCTTCCCCCGAAGTAACTACTCCCATAGTTTCAGTGTCTAATGGAAATGTCGATATGTTTGCGTTCATGGAAAGGTCGGGAATCATTTCACAAGACATATTCATATTATCATCGATACGCGGCAGGTTATTCTGACGTACAGGTGTGTTGTCATTAGAGCGAATACGTCGAGTTACATTGCTACACGCAGGGCATATCCAGTTCGACGCTTGTTTCTTTGTAAGTGCCAAAAATTTTTGTTTATCAATGTTGAGGCAGAGATGATGAAATTTAGCTATGCATAGCCGACATTTCAGTGACTCCTTTGCACTTAAAGCTTTTTTGCACGCGCTGCAATTCATTATAGCAACTCGATTGTAGGTTTATTTTGGCCAATAATTTATTACTATAACGTAGCAACAACACTAAACATCCAATGCAAGCAGTAGCGGAACTTGTAAGCGGCGGTAAAAAGGAGAAGCAATATTAGCTTATTTCTAACACAATGCGTAGTATGCTTATCATGTACTCACTAATTTCAACGACCATACACATAGTCCGGCTGGCGTGATGGAAACAGTTTCACTTACAAAGCAAGCGGGAGCGAGTTCGAATCTAGCTGCCGCACACCTCTTTGCGTGTTCACCCTTTTTCAATCGTTTCCAATTGGGACTCCGGAGACACTCTGAAGCAATAATGATCACAGGGGCGAAGCCCTAGCACTCCCACGGCACAAAACAAAAATATTCAAAACGATTGGCAAGGACTACCAAAACACGTCCGCTCAGAAAGTCGTAATTGAAGAACGTATATACTACTTATTACTACTTATTACTTTTTCATTACTACAGAGCACATTTTCATCATTGTTTAGGAAATCCACCCTAACAGCTGAAAGAAATATTTTTAAAAATATTTAAACTTTCAATCAAGATGAAAATTTTTGTAATTATTATTTTTTATCAATTTTGCATTTACAATGCTATACTGAAAAATATTCATAATTTAAAATGCAATTCAGTTTTAAACCTACTGCAGTTTCTGTGAGAGTATGCCATTTTTCAAAAAAGTGGAGTAAGATCGCCATATTAGTTACGAGTTACGACGTAGCAGAAGAACTGGGGATTGTCTACAAAACAGTTATGGCGCATTTGAAAAATATGGGTACACCAAAAAGGTGTATTTTGGGGTATCTTACGAGCTCACTGAACAAAACCTAATGAACCGTGTACTCATTTGTGACTCTTTATTATGGCGTAACGAAACTGAACCATTTTGAAGAAGCTGATAACTGGTGATGAAAAGTGGATCACGCACGACAAGAACGTGCGAAAAAGGTTGTGGACAAAGGTCGGTCAGGCATCACAGCCTGTGGCGAACCAGGTTAACTCGCAACAAGGTGATGCTGTGTGTATGATAGGATTGAAAGGGCATTATTGATTATGAGCTGCTACCGCCAGGCAGGACCATCGATTCTGAACTCTACTGCGAACAACTGAAGAGATTAAAGTAATAAGTTGAGAGAAAATGGCCAGAATCAATCAATAGAAGGGGTGTGGTTTTTCAACAAATTAACACTATACCTCTCATATATTTTGCTACTTACCAAAAATTAAGATAGTTTGGCTGGGAGGTATTAATGCATCCGTCGTATGGTCCTGACCTTGCACCAGGCCCGTCTTAAGCACAACAGGTGCCCGGTTGCAAGTAGTGCTCTGGCGTCCCCCAGCCCAGTTTTTTATACATATTTATATAAAAAAATATCGAAGTTATCGATGAGTAGGTACTACAAGATTAGATCATAATCGGCGCGACGCGCTCCAACGCGCGGTGCCCAGGTTCATGGCACCCCCTGCACCATGGATAAAGATTGGCCTGCCTTGCACCTTCACCTGTTTCCACCTGTTTCGGTCTCTTCAGTATTTTTAAAGGTTAACATCACGCGAGGACTGCCAAAAGCACTTTTCGCTATTTTTTTATTAGAAGCCCGAAAATATCTAAAGCAATGGGATCATGTCTCCACCTATAAGATGGCAAAAAGTTATCGGGTGTAAAGTTAAATGGTACTTACATACTTAAGTTAAAAGTAAATAAACTTTAATAAAAAATGTTTTGTATTTTCATATATTATGCGAAGAAACTTTTCCCCAACCTATTATGTTAAATTAAAAAAAAATGTATTAAAAACCAAACTAAATAATTTTGAGTATGTATTTATGATAATATCTGGTGAGTATGAATAATCAATAGCTATCTTCTAATCATTGAAAATTACTCTGCCAACAAGCGCATTTTTAAATGATTTACAGTTGCACAAATGTCCATTAAGGTTTATGACGACTTTAAGCTCTTCTTCTTTTATGAATAGCTTATCTGCGTGTTTCGCACAATTCAGCCAATGTTATGATTAAATTAAATTAAATTGATCTCTACATGTACAATGAAAATTAAAGAAAATAGACTTAAAGCTCTAATGGATGTATTTAAATTTGAAAATTTGTAGTAGTAATTTCGCTTTGAACTAACGCAATTTTAAAGGATTATAGATGGACACCTGAGGGCCTATTCTATTTGTTCTGCATGTAGTTCTTTTTGTCCTCGAATGAACATTCGGGAAACTGAATAGTTCTTATAAAGTGAAAATCATAACTGTGACTATTATGCATCAGAGGCAATGTCAGGTTCTTTGGAGTCGAATTAGCATTTCGAAAATAGATGAAAATTTACAGAGAAACAGAATGGGGCTTCAGGTTTCATGTTAATAATGTGTTGCGTGATGGTGTAGCGAGTTGAGTGGTTTGGTGCGCGAGGTGGGTCGTCGCGTGTGTCGCGCGCTGCCGCAGGAGCTGGTGGCCGCCAACATGGTGCGTCGAGTACTACGCGCTATTAGAGACGAACACCGCGCCGTATCCGACCAAGTACAGTAATATACAACTGATACTAAATATTAAGAGGGGCTAATTCACTAATAGGGGTGTAGACAACCTTTTTTTACATTTTTATTTTATAGATATACATAACATATATCTAAAGAAAATATTTAAAAAAGTATCATTCATATTATTAAAAAATAAATTTAAGTTTCAAAATCTCCCGCGAAATCGCCACTTCTGTCATGGCGTCGCTATGACGTCAAGGCCGTCTGAACTAATATTGTTTTATGTATGCATAAGATTGAATTCTCTAAGTTCTGATATGATTAAGAGGAGCGTGACGTCACGCGCTGTTCGCGGTCACGTGACAACGAGTATAAAATATTTATTTGTTCATAATTAATTGAAGCAATATTTTAAATACAATAAACATAAAAGTGTGGTAATCGGAAAAACTATATTAAACACTACTAGAAAAAAATAATTTCATTATTTTAGTTTAATATCTACACCCGCTACAAAGATATTCACGAATTTCACGCTACAACTACTTGATATGTAACACCGATTGTGACGAGACTTCTTTTAAAAGATATTGAATGAAAGATAACGTTAACTTGACGTTAATTAGAATAGGGATGATATCTGGGTTAAAAAAATTAAATTCTTTTTAGTCCGTTAGTCAGATAATAGACAAATATTAGATACCTATTTTTTTTTATTCAATCAAACAAACAGTGGCTTAGATAAAAAGCATTAAAGTTGAGGAGTGGGAGCTCGCTACGTCACGACTATGTAGAAAATGTACAAATTCTTGACGTCATGCGATTATGCAAAAAATACATGTTTAATATTCTTCAATAATCTACCTGACGGACTAACAAATTAAAAAAAAATCATCATCATCCCTATTGTTTAAGCAAAGCGAAAAATGCTCGATTGTTATTGAGAATTTTTGAATGCTGACTGTAATCTTTTGGCGGGTTAAATTAAATCTTTATTATATTTTTTTTATCATTAAAATCATAATTCGTTCCATAAACGATTGCGATTTTTAATGATTACGTAATTCGTTATCACAATTGTAATACCTTTTAAATTGATAGATATAAAAATTAGACAATTTATTTGCGTTTTTCTCTTCATAAGGATAACATTATGCCAATTTCTATCGTGCGCCGATATAGAATGGTGGCAGTGCGGAGGGTGCGACAGAAAGTCTTCAGCGGCTAGTGCTAGCGGCGGCGGCTCGACGTGGAACCCTGGGATCTGCTCAACAAGACCTAAGGGAACCGCTTCGAGATCATATTGCTGAGGTATTGAAAACTATTGTGTGTAACATACGGTTCACTATACTGAATACTAGTAAAAGCAAAAAATACATTTATCATGTCGAAGATATGACTGAAAAATTTAAATATCCATAGGCGGGTGCCAATGCTGGCACTGATGGGTTGCAAGCTTGTAGAGATTTTATGAAATAATAAATATCACTGATGGGGACCTGTGACAGTACTGATACGCCATTAATGTGTAAATCAAGCTTAAGGCGAGGTTGTACGATATTACCACTTTTTAAACATTTAAAGGCTATGCTAATATTTGCCAAATTAAAATAATTTTATAAAAAAAATAATCATATAATCGATTGCTAAAAACAGAAACATACATTTCAATAATTCGCTCAACAGAAATAAATCTCAAATATGACCCTGAATAGGATTTTTGGGCCGGTTTCACGACTAATATATTTCATCTAAAAGAGGTTTTGACATATTTTGATCACAATTTTTTAAAAGCAGAATTTGTTTTTTTTTTGTTATTAAAAGCCTGATACAAATACCAACTTTCAGTATGGAGATCAAACATTAAAACATAACAGCTATTTTTTTTTATTATGAGGGTATCATATATTTCCTTTTTAATATATGAATTAATCCACCCACATTTAATTTCGTATTATTAGTAAAAAAAAAAACCATTAATTTCTCAATGGCAATGGCATCAATATTTTTATAGGTCCGTGCGGAAATAGAGTCAGGTTGTGGCGCTGTGGCGGCGATGGCTACTGCCCACGTGCATGCCGCTGAACTGATACTGACGCACGGCTCCAGTAGACTGGTGGAGAGATTCCTGAAGGCGGCCAGGAAACATACGCACTATCGCTTACTACTGGCCGAGGGACCCGACGTGAAGGTGAATAAAATAGCGAACTGATAACCAGGGTGCCTAATGCAGCAAAGGGATTCCGTAAAAATCCGAACTCGAATTTAAATTCACTCAGGTGTTCGAATCCGCTTAACTTATATTAGTTTAGAAATTCTATTAATTGCATTTATATACTAATATTATAAAGAGGAAAACTTTCTTTGATTGTTTAATTGTAATGAATAGGCTCAAAAACTACTGGACCGATTTTAAAAATTCTTTCACTATTCGAAAGCTACATTTCTTATCAAAATAATTTCATCACTAAGTAGAGTTTATGTAGATAATAAATGGCCTTAGAATGATTAAAATTGGATGTTTGGTTTTGAAGTTATGGCGAAATTAAAATAATACGATTTCTGCTGCACGGCCCGTTGCGAAGTGGGCGTCACCAAGGCGGGAGTGCGCGTGCGGGAGGGGAGTTTAGATCTATGAGTAAGGTACCAGCGGACCACGCGGACGAAGCCGCTGGCGGAAAGCTAGTAATGTATAAAAATACAAAACAAGATTGATTGATTCATACATGTCTCAGATATTCTATTCCTATGTCATTTCGAAACCCACTTCATTTATGCCATGGTACGTTAATACTAATTCAAGGTTAAGCGGATGTCGCTTTCGAAGTGAATTCGGGTTCGGCTTTTTATAGAATCGCCCTGCAGGGGCGGATTAACGAGGACAATCAAAATCATAATTATTAACGTGGACGTTATTCGCGATAGACAGACACTACACAAATCACTAGTTGAATACTAGTTATGACGTCGATGTGACTAGTTGAATACTAGTTATGACGTCGATGTGACTAGTTGAATACTAGTTATGACGTCGATGTGACTAGTTGAATACTAGTGATTTGCCTGAACCGCGGTCACTCGTGATTCAGTGATACAATAACTATCTATTTTCCACAACGCTTTAAAGTAAAGCTGAATTCACTCTCAAGTACATCGTTTAAGGCTCATATTTGGGCGACTCGCTTTACAATATCTGCGATCACCAAGAATTAGCGATCACAGTTCGCAGCGATACGTAATCATCTTTAAGAGATCAACGCTTTACATTGACGGTCATGTTGTGCAATTTTAATAACCCTATAGAATGTAACGCGTAATGTAGAGCGTATAAATAATATGGATCGCAAACAATGCAACCAGTCATGTGTGAAGGAAACAACGACAGGATGTCAGTATACGTGCGAATGAAATAGGTATATATTTTTACGTGCCGTATAGTTTGGCTTTCGGAGTGATCAAGTAACCAACCCAAAATTGAGCTTAATCGCGTTTGCATAAGAATAAAATTCGCTTTGAATTTGTAGCGGTGTGAAAATAAAAAATAGACAGTTTTGGTATCGGTGATTGGCGATCCGATAAATTGCGTTACGTGATTTAAAAAATCAGATAATGACCCATCGCTATTACGTAATACTTACTTATAGTTAAAAAAAGAACGAGCTTCACAAATATTTTCATAAACATTATGTGCTACGATGGTAGGGACATACTTCAAAATCCCTGAGTAAAAAAAAAGAAAAATTTATACACTGTAAAAAATGGTAATATAAAATCTGGCCACATGGAGCGTAAAGGGTGGGGGATACACGAAGTCTCTGCTCCAGTTAAATAAAAATCGTAGATCCGGTCCTGTCCTCGATGTAAAAAAGCACTTATTATAATATCAATTAGTGTAATTTTATTTGTTTAGGAGAGTCACGGCATGGCGCTGCGTCTGAGTCTTTTAGGAATTCCCGTCACCGTCATAAGCGACGCGTCTATCGCTGCAGTCATGTCGCGTGTCAATAAGGTATGTTCTAAATTATATTTAATTAATATCACACTAATTGTGCAGTGTAAAAACTAGAGACGTGCCTAATAGTTTTACCGAACATTATTCGCTTTAACCTTTACCAAACCGGATATTTGGCCGAATTATTCGTTTAACCATTTCACAAACAACACGCGTAAACAAGTTTAAAAATTTAGCATTATTAACCATAATCTTAAAAGAATTTCTTTGGCTAATAATAATTATATAAATCCTACTTAAGACATTTAGAATATTATTTATATACCGTATCGTGCTAAGAAAATAGAAATACTTGAACCGAATATACTCGGCACCAAAACCGTATAATTCGGCCGAATACAAATAGTGATAAAGATACCGAAAGAACCCACTATTTTAAAGAAAGGAGATTTGATTTGTTAATAATTTTTGATCTCAATTTAATCCATCTAATTAAAACTCAAAATAGATGTAGTTTCATAGTTTGAATAGAATAAAAAGCTTATATTTAAAAACTGGTAATAGAAAAGGTTAAATGACAAATTTCTAGACAAAAAAGACAGCATAACTTTCAAGATGTTCCATTTTAAATTTATTACTTTACCTTGATTATATATCAGGTGGTGATAGGTGTACGCGCGGTGCTAGCCGGTGGAGCGCTGTTAGCTCGTGCCGGTACACATGCACTCACTATCGCAGCCAAACACTACAGCGTGCCGGTAATAAAACACATTACACTTATAAACACACTACACTCTGTTAAATACATAACTCTTTACGATAGGGATGTAGACAACTTTTTTAATATTTTTATTTTATAGATGCATAAAATATATATAAAGTATTATTTATATAATAAGTTAAAAATCTAAAAAACAATTTAATTTTCAAAATGTCCCGCGAAAGCGCCAACCTCCGTCATGGCGTCGCTTTGTCGTCACGCCCCTGATGTAATGCCCCTGACGTCCCTCTAAAGCTAGTATCGTTCTATGCACGCATAAGGTTTAGTTTTTTAAAGTTCTGATATGAGTTGAAGGGCGTGCTGTTTGCGGTCATTATATAATTGATCTAAATAATATTATAAACTAGCTTTCCGCCAGCGGCTTCGCCCGCATGGTCTTGTATTATACATAAAAACCTTCTTTTTGAATCACCCTATCTATGAAAAATACCGCATCAAAATCCGTTGCGTGGTTTTAAAGATTTAAGCATACAAAGGGATTTAGGGACAGAGAAAGCGACTTTGTTTTATACTATGTAGTGATATGCTAATCATAAAAGTGTGATTATCAGTAAAAGTATATTAAACTCTGCTAGAAAAAATAATAATAATAATATGTATTTATTTTCGTTTATTGTCTACACAAATATTAATTAAATATCATACATATTTACTTGACGTATCAATCGGAATGATAACTAAATTTGTTGTATTTTCGTCTGGTTGATTATTGAAAAATATTAATGATTATTAGTATTGCGTAACCAATAAATTCCAGCGATAGATTGAATTTGAATGTCGCATGCCGTTACACTTTTGTACATTTTCTGCGTAGTTATGACTAGATATTGGATTTTACCCGGAAAAATCCCAAAATTAGAAAAACCTGTGTGAAGTGTCATGGTTCATCCTCCTTAACCATCCATAAGGAAGGCCTGAGCCCCGGCAGTGGGGACGTAAAATGGCTTATAATAATGTATTCTGAAGGTATTTCAATTTATCGGTTGTGTAAAAAAGAGTACTTATTTAATTACATTATTGTTTGTATCGTATGTGTCAGGTGATAGCGTTATGTCCATTGTACAAGCTGAGTCCGCTTCATGCGTGCGACCACTACGGGTTCAATGCTCTGGACAACCCTCGAACCTCGCTGTCTTACGAGTGAGTATTTACTTAGACGACCATTATGGTTGATTTTCTAATTTTAAATTCAATTATGCCCATTAGTATTACTTAAATTTTTGCTTCCTACTTATTACTTATTTGTCTATTTACACGTACATACATACACCCGGTTTCTGAATTGAGAATTTCAAGTTGAGTACGTCTTAAACCGTGCTAAAGCCATATTAAACGTCATTTAAACAGGTTTTCATTACTGATTTACAATTTTTTAATGATCACTTGATAATGATTTGATAAAACTAAAACTTTGCCATATGAAACGTAAAAAAACTTAAGTTATTGAGAATAATCAGTTGAGATTTTGTGCTTTTCTCAATTCAGAAACTGGCCGTTAATCACATAAATAGGGTGTTCACTTTCTGGAAAATTAGTGAGTCAGGGAAAATTTTTAGGTCTACCGTGAAGTCAGGGAAGGACGTTAAGATATAAGATTTTTTATTTATTATTCCAGTTATTTGAGATCTTACAAATTATACATGAATGTTTGTACGTGTTGGTACTTTTTAATTATAAATATATGTTATATATAATAGTTGTGTTTCTGTCATTCAAACTATGTTTAAGATAAGACTAGACTTTTTTAATTCATTCTTTTTTTTAAAGATTAAGTAGTCCGAGCAACACGTATCTTTATCGCTTTTTTTTGCGTGGGTACAGGTTTTCTTTTGACAATGTTTTATTTTGATAGTAGCGATTCTTAGTAATAAGTTCAAATAACGTCTATTACACAAGAACTGAAGCAAGATCGTTAGATGGCACTGTTCTTATATAAAAATAATAAAAAAGGTAAGAACAACGCCTTCTAGCAATCTATTTGCAACTAATCTGATGGTTGCAGAATTCACACTATGGCAGATCCGGTGTGCGATTGTATGTTTCAAAATCAGAATTTAAAAATCAAAACTACCCTATTGGCGGAACTTTGGGCCTTTGCTCGTTTTTTCATTTACCCTTGGAACAGAATATTTATGTTTTCCTTATAGTGTAATACTGTTGAACTATATATTTGGTTTAACCTTCTTTTGAAATCATTAAACTAATAAGAAATAAATAAAGAAAAATATTGGTGTAGACTGGAAAGAGTATGAGGTATGAAACTACGAGCTGTAGCACTTAGCGGCGAGTACATGAAAAAAGACAATTTCTGATTATTTTTGATGCGTTTATTTGTCATATTTATAGATTCAGTGAGAGCGGAGACGTTCATGTTGAAGCTCCTCGTTACGACCTCGTGCCTCCCGATCATGTCACCCTCTTCCTCACCAACCTGTGAGTATGCACATTCTATTACAGTAGTACCTAATTGGTAGTGATAGTAATTGTAATACCTGGAAGCATCCCAAGAAACGTATGATTGACCGCTTGAATGTTTTGGGAAAAATATTTTATTACTTAAATATTACACATCATACCACTATCAGATTTATGTTTCTCCAAAAATGTTTTTAAATAAAGGAAAAATATATTTTTATTCATTCAATTTAAATTCTCCCACGGAAACGTCAATCATGTGAAGGGGTCGGAAACCGGTATATTTTTCGAAACGTTTTCATCTTAAATACCTAAAAAACACTTTGTTTCGATTTCGTTCGAACAGAACGATATAAAAAACGATTTTGGAAAAACAGAATTATATTGTTTTCGGTTAATAAAACGTTTTTAACCATTTATTTTTCGTTTTTTTGCATCGCATACTGTAAATAACGTAATAAAATAAATGTACGCCGCCCTTACAGCCCGCGCGGCACCGTCTTGCGGATTAAACCGATTTTTTAAAGCATTCTCATTTCGTTTTCGTTTCGAACGCAATCTTGCCCAAAGAACCATAAGAAACGTTATTTTGAATAACGTTTTCGAGCCCTGATCATGTGATATTTCGCGTTGTGACGTCATATTTCAATAAACATGAACATTAGTTAGACTTGCAACAAACAATAGATCTATTCAAATGTGACGTCAGACAATGCTCCGTTATGGTCGCCCGGGTTTCGGTGCTTGTAATCCCCAGATTGTAAATGGCAAGTTAACTTTGCTAATTTAATATATCGCACGCCGAGAATGATAGTGACACAATGCAAAAAATACCTCGTTTTTGGTCCCTCGTTGTTTTCACATAGACATTCTCGACGTGCGATATACTTACAATTTATTTAAAAAAAAAAATTACTTATCAATCTAAAAAACCTTACTACATTAAATTATACTAATGTGCTCCTAGCACGGAATATTGAAGTGGGAATCGAATAGGGAGGACGAAATGGTAAAAAAAGAAATTCTATTTAGTCCGTCAGTCAGATAATAGAAAAATAAATGTTAGATTCGTGAGATGACGTATCTTTAATTAAACTTAAATTTAACAAGAAATAGCTTATATAACAGGCGTTAAAGTTGGGGGCTCTTTACGTCAACGTTTTGTAGAAAATGCGTGACGTCATGTGACATTTAAACTCAATATATCGCCGTTATTTAATGATGACGCAAAAAAAAACGTGTTTAATATTTTTCAACAATCTACCTGACGGACAAACAAACAAAATTAGTCGTCATCCCTATTCATACCAAGCTAAAATCTCGAAAAACATATATTAACGTATGCAAAGCTCCACCTGCGTCTATAAAAGGGAACTTGAAGTTTCTTAACGATGGAATTTTTTCATTAGAAGCTTTTATTTCACTTGTCATGCTATTAGTTACTCATAACATAAGTATCTCATAACATAGACAATCATAAGTGATGAAACTGGAAAATGGCCTCAGGATCTTTCTAATTAAGTAATGCAACCCTGTTGCTTTATACAATTATAGATTTCTGGTCCTAAAATAATAATTTGGATATAATATATAAAATTGTTACAATTGTTATAAAATTAAAGCTAGTTATTATTCTAATTATTATTTTTTTCTGCCTAATATATATATTTTTTATTTTACAGAGGTGGCAGCTCACCATCCTACATATACAGGCTGTTATCAGAACTGTACGACCCCAATGATCATCAGTTATAACCTTTTAACATCAATAAGAAACTCATAAGGTAGTGGCACCTAATATAGCCCACTGTTTTCAATTTCATATGATAAAAGACAACTATACCTAATACATTTCCACTGTAATCTTGCGGTAAAATGATTAATACAAACATAGGACTGTAATTTCAACATATTTGGTTATTAATAAGATGCGCCGAATACTGATTTCGCTGAATAACCGAATACCGCATAGTAAGGTGGTTTAATTTTTACCGAACAGGATTTTCGGCCGAATTATTCAGTTTACTATTTTTATTTAGCCAGAGCATTACAAAGTGCTCCTTGTAATATAGCGAACGATGATTTCAGAAAGCAGAGTACCTGTAAGAAGAATAAACTTTATATGGGCAAAATTAAGCGACACTACCTTACATTAAAAAAATACGGTTTAGTCTGTTTCAAATCGATTAAAATACTGTCACTCCATACGTAAGGTTACATATTAAAAATCAAAACTTACATTACTTAGTTTATAACAAGCATTCATAACAATCGGAAGGTGTATTTCTATTAAATTGCTAACTTTTATGTTGGTAACAATTCTTTGATTGAGTCCCCGCTTGACTTGTAATTTTGGCAGTAAAACTTGTTGACAACGCAAAAGTTGACAATCCGGTATAAATCTGGGTCTCTACCAAAGAAAAATTGCCTTAACAAAAAACATGCAATTTCTCTTTTTCTGTTCAATTCAGTTCAAATCAGCTCTTCCTTCAATTGAAAATTGTTTCGAAAACACAGTCACTTTGCATTACCATAGCTAAAAATAAAATAAAAACCGCCATGAATGTGTCACGTTGGCCGGTGAATAAAAAAATTATCGGTTAAACAAAAATACGTGTATTACGCCCTAATGATTTACGACTGTTTGTATGCATTTTATTAATATGTTTGTAACAGACTATAAACATTTATATATATATTGTGTTGTTATAAAAGTTATTTTAATTTGATGATGCGATTGTTGGAAAATAATAAATAAACTATTGAAGATTTTGTATATGGTGAATAAATAAAGAAATATGAACTGTATTTTTTTCATTTAGTGTATCGCAACAATAGTTAAACAAGGGACGTTCTATAGGAATGAATAATAAGAAAAGATTGTATGTTGTAGTTTTTAGTCTAAAGCAATTAGTTACACGGGTTGCAATAGAACTTTTGCGGCCCGTTTTGGTGTGTATTAACGAATACAGACAAAACAAAGGTTGTGCCTTTCGTTCGAAATAAAATATTTTTAATCGTACATTCAATGACCTTTGGGACAGATACCCAACAGATTAGACTAAACTTTAGCCTAATCTGTCGCTTTGAATAAAGCTTCAATTATAACTAACGTTTTGATATATTGGGGCCCTACATACCCGGTTAGTCAGTAGGGGGTGATCTGTTATTAAAAATATATCTACCCCCTACCACTAATATACTCGGTACTTGCATACTTCCGTATTATGCGATGGTTCTGATTCTAAATTTATAGTCATAACGCGTTCGATTGAGCAAGTGTAATGTATCCCCATAAGCATTAAAGAGCGGTAAGGTAAGCATGCGGCCTACAAAGTGGCTTTGAGCATTATTTGCATATTTTAGGGACTTGAAAATGGCGGACTGAGCAACCTAATGAGAATACGTAGAAATCACTCTTCTAAATTATCTCATTGATCACAAAGGAGAACCCACATCATTATCAAATATTAAACGGAGATAGAAGCCCATTAGCCCTAGCTGCAAACAAAAAAATCAAGTAAAACAAACATCAAAAGACTTTTTCTGTCATTTCAATGCGTTTGAAAGAGGGATAACTTTCGTAACCATTCGTTATCAACTTCACACTATATTTGCGTCATGTTGGCTACATTATAATAACAATAGGCGGTGGCCCTACTTCATCAGCGCTGCAGCGCTCTTTAACTATGAATAGGAATCCACGTACAAATAGTACCGAATTCGTAACCGCTTTGCTGGTAGCGTTGCAATCGCTGTGTACTGCGTGGGGGCGGATTGTATAAACTTTTTTTATGTACGAGGCTTACGTATCGTTCGTCCGGACTGGGCACATAGCGTAACATTATTGAGTTTTCTTTTTGCAATTTTCATTAGTATTTTACTAGTTTTAGTTTTAAATCTAATGAAGAATAGGCTTTCGTTCCATAAGTGTAAATATTTCGAGTGGATTTAAGTTGTGTTGTGAAGCGAAACGATGAAAGTGATATTATCGTCTGATTCACATTAATTATATGAACGGTGACGAACCCATTTTAAGTGCGCGATAACACGCCTTCGCTATTTCTTGGATATTCTGATAGTTTCCTCTCGTCCAATGCTAATAATAAATCATTTTAATTTGTTTTTAATATAAAATCAATACTCAGCTCTATTTAATGTATTTTTATGCGTATTCATTTTATGATCAATCCAAATCACTAAATGGCGTGGTGTTAATAAAGAAAGAAGTTTATATTTTAAGATAAGATATTCTGCAAAATATTAGAAAAGAATTATCGACCCGAACTGATTTGGCGCTACATTTTGAATGCGAACAATGGAGAGCTAGAGGGAGTTCGCGTCGCTTCACTTTTGTTGTGACGTTGTCGCGCTTGCGATCAATCTGTCAGTCAGTCTGCGCGATCTTCGCGCTGTTAGTGGTCGCTTATAAGAAAATATCGTAGGGCTTCGGAGTCTTGAAAAAGGTGGATACAGTTGCATCGTGATAATTACCAGCAGTGTCATAGTGCAGTGTGATTTAGTGTTGTGTTGGATTTTGATAGCGGGCACGGAAGCCCGCGTTGTTTGCGCGGATCGATACGTGTTGCTTGTGATTATGGCGCAGCGATCATGAGCCAGGGCGGCTCGAGGAGGCCGTACTCGCGCGGGGGCCCTCGCTGGCACCCCCGCTACAAGGATTACTGGGATTATGAACAGAATTATAGGTTAGTTATACCCATAGCTCTCTAACCAAAGTGCGTTTTTGTTACGTTTTTTTTGCAGTCAGTTTCTACATAAATCTAATTATACGAGTGGATTCTCACAAATTTACATATTCTAAATTTTACTACTATTTCCAGCTTAGTTACTGACTATACCTAAACATTTCAGACATTCGTAACAATTATATATTTTTTATGTTTAACCTACCTTCGGCTTTTTATAAACTTGCCTGTTTATTACTGTGTATTCGCTAAGCCAAGGCCTGAGGACGGTATTACACACGACATTGCCATAAGCCACTTTATCCTTTTGGTCAAGCCTAGGGGCTCTACACCACCTAGCTAGGGGCACACAACATGAGATTATCTTATCTCATATTTCTATTTATACAGTCTATTATCATACACACTTGAAATATTGTTATTGTCTTTGGCATGTAAGGCATGTACCAGGTTAGAATATGTGATCTTTATTCACAAATAATTAGGTTAACCCTAACCTAACCACTAAGGTGGTTATATTATTAAACTAGGATCTAAAAGGTGAATTCATACACATTATAAAGATGCATACCTACTTTTCCCAAGAAGACTTGCCACATAAAGTTGATCTAAGTGGCTTATATATTTCAAAAAAAGAATTTTATATCAAACTTATACTTTTATATTTTGAGAAATAGGTATATATGTATTTGTATAACAAAAAAATATATATATAAAAAAGAAATTCTGTTGCGTAGGTATTTGTTGACTTGATATTTTGGGAAATTATTATGCATTTGTACTATAATAAATATATTGACACCAGAAAGCAAACACATATCAACCTACAAACCAAAATTGGTCAGAGTAAAAATATGTTTTGAATTTTTCCTTCAGTATTCATTCTTCATACCACATTTTACAAATATCCATTAAAAATGACATTAGTTTAAAGTAACATTTGTATTGGTAATGTTGCTTTAACCAAATGTCATTTTTAATGATTAAATTTAAAAAAATATTTGCGAATTTAGAACTTTGATGGCCTTTTTTCTCTGTGGATGTTCATACTTGTTTTTTTAATTTGTTCTGAAGAACAAGTTTGTTTTTTTGGGTTACCCTGTATTTGCTTTCTAGCATCAAATACAACAATACATAGGGCTATTTATTTTTAAGTGCTTGGAGTACCCTTGCTGCCTGTACCCTTGCTAAAAACAGTAGAGATAATGACTACATTTTTTTTTATTGAGCTATTAAAATCTCCATACAATATATAGTCCCTAAACAGTTTCAAGTCCAATTACTTATAGTGGTCAAAAACTAGCCCTCATTTATTTTTTTTATTTTGAATATATTTTGAAATATTTATTGGATTCAAGCTAATAAAAATAATCTAAAATCCATATTGCAAACTTATCTTAACTGTGTAGAAAGATTTTTTTTTAAAGTGTAAACTACAAAATTACTCCTAAATAGGTAATTCCGACGTAACTTCAGCAATATGGTCACACTAGGTTATGATGTCGCTTTATGCCTAAGCGGGTCTTCCCATCTGGACGGGTAAGGACTGGAAATGCACAGTTGCGCATTTCCAGTCTTTAGTCGGGGGCAGGTCAGCTGGTTTGCGCGCTAGCCGGACATTGCATGCCCCGGCCCTGTCTAGGGGGTATGTCTCAAATGTCTCTGAGACATACCCCCAACCCGCAAATGGACGCACACCCCAAGGGGTGGGCCAAAATGAGGGCGAACGGTGATGGAAGTGGCCTTCGGGCTGTCCCCGTGCATCGCCTCCATGGAGAGGGACATCGCTGAGTTTTAGTGGGTATACCCTTGCTATTTAACTAGTCCCAGTCTGGGGTGGGACCGCAGGGGAGAGTCCCATAAAATCCGCCGACCCTGCGCTATGCGTAACGCATTTCTCAGCGTCAATAACAGGTTATGACGCGCTTGCCAAATCATTCGAATGGCCGGCACCACTAATGCTATGTAGTATACTGCTAGGAAAGTTAATCAGTACTAGCTAAGGTATTGTGTCAACACAACACACCGTTTATTCGACTGTAGGTATTATCTATCTCGTTTACTTCTTCTGTAACCGAGACGGCAAGAAGCCCGTACGCGTTCGTACTGAGAGAGAATTTTAATTTAGAACAGATACATATAAGTCTTTGATTACAGTTGAATGAAAAAAAAAAATGTCCAGCGAAAATTGCGGAAAACAACCGCTCGAAGTGAGACGAAGAATTAAAAATGGAACTCCAAGTACTAGGTAACTCCATTATGGGAACATAAAAGCGGCGTGTGACTCATCTCTCTGATGAAACTATGTCCTGTTTCGGTCATGGTTACTGGGTGTGTGGTTCTTTGGCATTGGTTTATTCTTTGTTCGTGACGTGACTTATGTTTCGAAGTTCTTATGCTGTTAGTACACCAACGCAATCGCATGCGAAAACGAAACGACAAAAGGGCTTGACAGTTGTATGGCAATGTTTATTTAGCATTTACTTTGTCTCGCTCTATTATTAGCTCGAAAAAATAACTGCGTCCGTACTGATAAAGTACGGTTTCGCAAAAAACTGCGAAACACGTAGTTGTCAGATATTTCGCTTTCGCAAGCGAATGCCTCGGTCTCCTAACGGCGTTATTCTTTTAGTGTGATAAAAAGTATCACATATTTTAATTTTGGCATTATATTGGACGCGTCAAACGTTATTAAAATCTACAAAGTCGTTCACAAAAAAAAAAACGAGTATATGAACCTCAATTACTTGGAATAATATCGAATTCGTCGAATGGTGTTTAAAAAAATAATCTTCCAGCATTGGTAGAATTTTATTAGAAATTTAAATATTTGTCTGAGAACAAAACTAATGCAATGATTTAATGATACTGAAAAACAATGTTTTTTAAGTAAGAACCTTGTTATACTTAGATACGATATTTTGCTCTCACTATTACGTATCCTCCTAGCCTAGCATATCCATAAAAAAATGCGAAAGTTCTATCTTGGCAGTATGTAACAAATGCTTACGCGAAAACGGCTACACGTATATAAAAGAAATTTGGCACACACAATTCACTGCCCCGATTAACATACATGTAATGTTACTTTTATGTTATTTTTATTTATATCTTCACACGGAATACCTCGCAAGGTAGGCAAAGAGAACCGAGCGCCACAAGATACATCATGCCAATAAAACTAAATACAAACGCGATGAAACCGTTTAAAAGTAGTTTCATTTATATATAATACGAACATCTTTCGCCTTTTCTACGTTAACTATTCCTTTAAATACATCTAGCCGGTTTTTATGGCTTCTAAGCTCACCTTCCATAGCACGGTGTCGATTTGATCGTCTAAGGTGTGCTTTGGCCTTCAATGGCTTCTACATCCTTCCTCTTTAGCTCTGTAATCAGTTGTCACTTTTATCATTCTCTTATCCGCCATATTTACACCGACATTATCTTTCTTTAAGTCAGACTAAAATTAGTCGTAGATTGAATTTTATAATCGTTTTCCAACGACTACAGGCAGTGATTCAGTTTGTATACGTAATTTTAAAAAATAAAATTGTAAGTTAAATCTAAAAAATATGTTAACTCGCTTCAGAACTACAGTCGTTCTGCTGGCTACTCACGCGCAGGTAGCCACCCCGGGTCATCGGCCCGCCCTAAATATACACGCGGATGCCGTAGCTTTTTTTTATTAGTTGGCAGCCCTGCCACTCGACTCGTATATGTTCAAAGAAAATTGGCACGCATATTATACTTTTGAATAAGGTATTGTTTATTAAAACAGAGGCAATTGTAGGAATAAGTTTTTAAGTAAAATAATACACAGAGAAAAAATATTCACAGATTAATAACTAAATCCAGACTTTTAATACACTTTTAGGCTGGGATTTAGATGTAGCTGTTAAGTTAAACCGCATACATTGCGGCTCGGGTTTCTAGCTGGCCATTGCGTGCGCTTGGATAGAAGGCTATGTGTTAATTTTTTGTGGCTTTAAACTTTTGTATGATTTGCAGGCTGATCCTTACGAAAGACGAAATGTTTCTTCGTTACTGAGAAAACAAAAAATAACGGCCAGAATTGCGAGAGCTGTTGCTTTTTTTTCTTATCGCATTAAACAATGATTTTTTGTAGAATATGAACTCAACTTGTAAAAGTGATTGCTCTTATAAAAGCAACGAACGTGTTTTCCTCTTGCCTTGTACCTACGCACATATAACAAGCACGAAACACTTCACTTGTATAGAAAAATTCCCAGCCGTCATGTTTTGATCGATTATCGTCGTTCTTTAGCTGTTTTGCCCATAATTCTAAAAATATATTTATTTTATTTATTTATTCTTTATTGCATTTTAATACAATAGGCGGACTTAATGCCAAAGGCATTCTCTGCCAGTCTACCAGTAACATGTTGGAGTCAGGATGTTAGGCGATAAGATTAAAAAAAGCAAAACACAAAAAAACAGTGGCCAAAAAATTATTACAACAAACAAATTGATAAAAGCATAATACTATTTATACCAAAACAAATATATATGTAAATATAGATAAAATACAAATATACACATACATATACATATACACATATATATATAAAATATAGAATACAGAACGCATATGAAATAATTATATATAAAGATAGTGCTCATGCACCAATCTCCTAAAAACCATTATACTCTGAGCATATAAACTTATGCATTCGCAAAAATTTATATTTTTCTATAAAATAAAATTTAATAAATGTTAAGGATTGACGTTTGCTACTTAAATTTAGAGATTTTTATGGAATAAGCGGCACTTACAAGTTACCTAGTTGTTTAATTGGGTGCATTGGTTATTTTATATAAAGGCTCTTGAAAGGTCTCACAAGACCATATGAAAAATTAACAGCGCGTTATTGATGCCGGGACCTTGTTCTCATCTCGCCCTATGTCAAAATCATCAATAAAAAAAAACCGGCCAAATGTGAAACGGACTTGCGCATTAAGGTTTCCGTAACGAAAAC